CGCCCGCCCTCCGCGGGGACACGGGGCCTGCGTTCTAAAGGGCGGCTGCGGCCGTGCACGCGCGGCTCTATTCGTGTTTATGTAGCATTTCGGGGTCTGCACTGCAGTCCTCCTGGCGCTGAATTTTCTGCTATTTTTTATGGATGGAAACATCAGTGATGAGAGAGATGTTTTTACTGATGTCAGAGAGGAAGGGAGAGGGAGAGAGAGGAACACCCATGATGAGAGAGAACCACGGACCGGCCGCCTCCTGCGCGCCCCCCACTGGGGATGGAGCCTGCAACCCGGGCCTGTGCCTGACCGGGAATCTAACCCTGACCTCCTGGTTCCTAGGTCGATGCCCACCCCTGAGCCACGTGGGCGGCCGGGCTCTCCGCTTCGTTTTAAAACCAGAAATGTCGCCTGGCCCGCGTGGCTCAGGGGTTGGCGTCGGCCACGGTGACCCCCCTCAGAGGCGTGCTTTCCTCCTGCGCCTTCAGCACTGCCTGGGCCTCGCCCGAGGAGCTTGACCGCCCTGCCCCTCGCTGTGGCCTCTCGTGTCGGCCCTGCTCTGTCTGGCTCGCTGATCTGTCCTTTGCTTTCGCCAAAGCGGGAGGGCCGTGGCCATTACTTCTTCAAATGCCTTTTAAAAAAAATCCTCCCTGGAGGATATTTTTCCATTGATTTAGAGAGAGTGGGAGAGAGGGGGAGAGACGGACAGAAATACTGACGTGTCCCTCCCAAGGTCCCTGTCACAGAGGCCTTCCCTGTGCCCAGCGGGGTCTCCCCGGGCAGGAGTGGCGTCCACTGTCCGTGTGAGTGTCCGTCTCGGCCCCGGAGACCTGCCTTCCTCGCCGGTCCCCGTGGGATCTGTCCCCGCCCAGTGGGCGTGCAGAGGGGGTGAACCAGCGGTCCCCGCTCTCAGGGGCCGCAGAACCTCAAAGCTGGGGCAGATGTGGTGTCTCTAGTGAAGGTGGGGGGCCTGCAGGGCGGCCCAGGGGAGCCAGGCCAGGCCCAGGGACCCCCAACCCGAGGCCCCCAGCGGAGTGAGGTTCCTCCCAAGTGCACCTGTTGCCTTTGTCACTTTCTCTTTTCCTTTTTAAAAACTGCCCAGAACTGAACCACAGCCCCTTGGGAGGGGGACTGAGGGGAGGGGGTGAGGAGGGGGCGCCGAGGGGGGGTGCTGGGGAGGGAGGGGGGAGCCTGGGGGTGGAGTCCGAGTTCTGGGAGGGGCGGTCCGGCGGCTGCGGGCTGGGCCTGGCTGCAGACAGAGTCTGGGCCACCTGAGGCAGGAACCACCCCCGGCCCGGCCCAGGCTCGAGGGCGAGCTGACGGAACGTGTGAGCATGTGGACCGGCTGTGTTGAGGTGGTGACTGTGGCCCGGGGTGACGTCATAAGGATCCAGGCGGCCCTTGGCAGAAAGAGGTGCCCCCCCACCCCCCCAGAGGCATCTGCCCCTCCAGCTGCTGTTCACGAGGGGTGGCTGAGTCCTCAGGTCCGCCACCCGCAGCCTTGGGGTGTCTGTGCCCTGCTTCCTCCCCAGGGAAAGGACCCTGCCCAGGCCCTCGGTTCCCCGGACGTTTCCCCAAACGCAGCCCCCTCCGCCTCAGCGCAGCCCCATGATTTAGGGCCCTGGCGGCCGTAATTACCGGGAAGCTTGCGAATCCGAAGCAGAAAAGTGAGTTTAATTATTGAAAAGTCAGGAGGCCCGTTCCCTGCGTGACTTATGCCCCAGCCGCCCAGCCCACCTGCCGGCAGCACCGGCCCCGTTTTAGGGATGAAATTGATAACTCGACCAAGTCGATCTCATTAGCGGGTCTGTCATATGTGCAGTTAGTGATGGCGGGTGCGGACGGAAGGGTGAGGAGCCTGGGGCGGGGGGTCGGGTGCAGACTGGGGGGGGGGGGTGCGCAGTGAACTCTGCTCCTGAGGGTCTGCTTTCCCGGGGGGCCTGGGGCGGGGGGCGGGGGACCTGGGGCGGGGTCCTGGGGCGGGGGGCGGGGGGCCTGGGGGGCGGGGGACCTGGGGTGGGGTCCTGGGGCGGGGGGCGGGGGGCCTGGGGACGCTTGCTGTCTAGATCCGAGAGGGAGGTGCTCAGGGACTGTGAGGGCAACAGGGCGTGTTCGCTTCTTTCTTTCTTTTTTTGTTTTAAATATTTTTATTGATTCCAAAGAGGAAGGGAGAGGGAGATAGAAACGTCCATGATGAGAGACAATCATGGACCGGCTGCCTCCTGCACGCCCCAACTGGGGATGGAGCCCGCAACCCGGGCCTGTGCCCCGACCGGAATCGAACCGTGACCTCCTGGTTCCTAGGTCGACGCGCCGGCCGGGCCAGGCCACGTTTTCTGGATGGAAGTCGCGTCCTCCCCACGCGCACGGCCGGGTCTCAGACGGAGGAGACGCAGATGCTCCTTTATCCTCCATGAAGCCCGAGCCCAGGACGCTCCGCCCTCCGCCCGGCAGCCAGGGAGGCAGAGGCCCCCACCGGTCGCCGGCCCCTGGAAAGAGACCCCAAGGCTCTGAGCGCCAGCTCCGCCCGGAGCTGGGAGCTGCTGGAACCCGGGGCGGTGTGTGCGAGGTGCCTCCAGCGGGCGCGGCCGCGGCACAGGCCTGCGCACAGTAGGTGCTGGCGTCCCAGGCGTGACCCTGGGGCCTAGGACGCACGGAGCAGCACCCACGAAGGGGTGCCCTCGTGAATGTCCATTTTAGTGGGAGACGGTCAGCCCGTCAGGGTGAGGAGGTCCAGGGGGCCAAGAGGGGTCCCCGGACAAAGGGACCACAGGACAGGGGTGCGTGGGAGGTGGGCTGCAGGCCCCAGCTGTCATGAGGTCCTGGCTCCAGCCCCGCTCCCCCATCCCAGCTGCGTGGCCCCCGGACGCCTCGCCCCCTGGAGGCGGCAGCAATGATCCTGTGAGGTGGGTAAGGACTCTGAAGTGACACCTCCATGAGGAGGAGCTGAGGAGACAGGTGCTGTCCCCGCCCCCCACACCCCTGACCTGCCCGGGTCGCAGCGACCAGGGACCCTCCTGGGAGACTTGCTCAGGCAGCGCTGGCTGTGGCTCCGGGAGCCAAGTTGAAGGAAGGCCAGCCTCTGAGGGTCCGCTTGTTACTGCCCCTGGCCTGGCCCCACCTCACTGAGGGGGGCCCTGGTGGGCGGGACTCTGGTGGGCGGGGCCTTAGTGGACGGGGTCCTGGTGGGCGGGGCCCTGGCAGAGGGGGCTGATGGGCAGGGCTCCTCCTGTTGTGAGCCCTGTGCTCATGAAGGCCTCCTCCTCTCTTCTAGCCGGATGTGTCCCCTGGGTTTCGGGGGGTGGGGGGGCCATGCAGGAGCGGCCTGAACTGCCTTCCTGGCACAGGGACACCTGAGAGGAGGAGTGGGTGCAGCTGGTCCTGCCTCCCCGCCCTGTTTGTACCCAGGGCTGCTCGCCCAGGTGCGCCCCAGCACGAGGCCTGCCCAGCGTGGGCACTGGCCCCCTGGCAAGGGAGGGGCGCCCGGGGGCCGTGGCGGCCCTAGGCCTGCACTCCCCCCTTCCCCTCCCTCTCAGGACAAGCTGGGCTGCATGTCGGGGGCTGGGGGTCCCGTCTGCCCACTGACAGCTCCAGGGGCCGAGGGTCCGGTGAAGTCACATAGGCTCCGCAGGCCCAAGGCCCCGGCGGCCGCGGCTCTGAGGGTCAGTCGTGTACAGAGCTCCCTGAGCGCCCACAGGGGCAGCTGCCCTGCCCGAGCTCGGCCTCCGGGGGTGCCTGGCGGTTTGCCCGACTCTAAAGCCCCGAGTGGGGGACTTGCCCTCGGAAGGGGAGCCCTGACCTCGGCTCTGACCCGTGTCCTGGGACGTGTGTGGGGCCCACAGACCCAGGGGAGACCCTGGGGAGAGGGGGACGGGTGTGGCCGCCGCCTGGCTTCCCTCTGTCTGACGGGGCCCCTGCGCCCCACGAGAGCGAGGGGCAGTGAGGTGCTGCTTTGTCTGCGGGGCCGCACCTGGGCCAGTGGCAGGACCAGGACCCGGCCTGAGGGTGGGGGGCGGGGAGTCACACTGGGGGCCAGGGAGGCCCTGACACTCCCAGGCCAGGCGATGGCCACTCACCTGGGCTGCGTGCCGGGAGCGCCCTTGGGGGCCAGGAAGGTGCGGAGGCTCCTGCCCCATGTCCTCAGGGCCGGCCCAGCCTGGGCGGGGCCCGTCCTCACGGGGCTCTGAGCTCCGTCCTCGCCGGCCACGCCGGCCACGCCTGCCACGGCCCCTCTCCCAGGACACCGCGGCCAGCGAACAAAAGCCATGTGCATCAAAGGGTGTTCTCTTTATTGTCATAATTTAGCTGAATCAACACAAAATCGGAGACTGTAAAACAAGAGGAAAGTGTGTAACAGCGTATCCTCCCGGCCTCTGCCCTCGGCGTCTGCACCCGCTCTTTCCAAGGAACGGGCGCGGGGAGGTGGAGGGGTGCTGGCTGGCGGGGGCGAGGTGTGCTGGGCTGGGGACCCCCCCCCCCGGCTCCCGGAGCCAGGCCAGACCACGGAGCCTGGCGGCTGCTGGGGACCCCGCCCCGTGCGGGGCACCGCCTCCGTGACGGGAAACCCACATCTCGGCCGGCGCCTTCACGCCAGGACACACGTGCCTAAGTGTGTGGTGACCGAAAGGTAAATGAAACGCGGGGCGGGACTTAAATACGCGATTTCCTGTCCTATCTGGAGTCTACGGGGGCGGGAACGGTTGCTATATAGTTGTGTGTTTTTTTAACTTTTAGTAGCATAGACCTAGCATAATACTCCTGTTAATGGCTCGTAGGTAGTATATACTTCACCAGAGACGCGGGAAATGGAGGGGCCTGGCGAGGAGGGCGAGGGAGGGCAAGCCAGGACCGTCCTGCCCTGGCCGGTGTGGCTCAGTGGGTAGAGCGCCGGACTGCGGACCCAAGGGTCCCGGGTTCCATTCCGGTCGAGGGCACGTACCTCAGTTGCAGGCTCCTCCTGGACCGGGCCCTGGTCGGGCGCTTGCAGGAGGCAGCCCATCGATGTGTTCCTCTCACATCGACGTTTCTCTCTCTCCCTCTCTCTTCCACTCTCTCTAAAATCAACGGGGAAATATCCTCGGGTCGGGATTAACCAAAGAAAGGGCTCAGTGGCAAACCAGCCCGTCCCGTCCCGTCGGGGCAGGGGAACCCTCCGAGGGAGGGCCTGGGGGACCGACGCCTGCCGTGCGCCTCGCCCCGACCTCTGCCACGAGCCAGGACTGAGGGGCAGCCGGAGGGGGCGCACGCTGCCCCCCGAGTCTGTGCCTGTGATGGGGAAGAAAAAGGGGCACTGCTCCCCAGAACGGGGGAGACGGAGGATGGTCCATCGGCGGTCCCTGAGACAGGCCGGCGGGAGGGACACGGAAGCCAGCCGGCGCCGAGCCGGGGCCCCCCCACGTGCACCCACGCGCACCGCCCTCCCGCGTGGTCACGCCCTGGCCCTCAGCTCGCTGCCCCCGACCCGGAGCTCCCGCCACGCCCCCCCGGAACCCTCAGGCCCACCCGCCCAGGTCCCGCGCCCAGGGCTGCCACATTCATGGTTAAATAGGATTTCCTACAAATATACAACATATAAAAACTGTTAAATATATAACTTTAGGCTTTGCAAAATACATTTAATGATCTCTTTCAAACAAGGGTTACTTCAGTTTCCTTTCATTGCTTTCTGGAGCTAAATGGTGCATCGATGAGACGGCAGTCCCAGGAGACGCAGCATGCGCGCGGCGAAGACCGAGCCTCCCGCGATCGGTCGGAAATGGAGCGACGAGGCGGGCGACGTGGTTAAAACGGGTTTAGTAGGTCAGTCCGTGTGGCGTGGGGGGCGGCCCGCGGCCGTGTCCCCGCGTGGGGACGGGCCGTCCCGCGGGGCAGCCGGCATCCTCCCCGCGGTGCGGGGGCTCAGGGCGCCCCGCAGTGTTCGTGGGGCGGGGGTCTCGGCCGGGGCCGCCCTCTGCGCGGGGCCGGGGCCGCCAGCATGTCTGTGCCCGTGCCCGTGGGGCCCGGGCCTGGGCGTGGGGGCGAGTCCGCGTTAAAATAGATTTGCTCTTTGGTCTATCGAGTATACTGAAGGGTAAGAAAATAAAAGCGACTCGGACAGTCTGGGCGCCGAGAGGCCCCTGCGGCGCCCAAGAGTCAGTCCTGCCGACCGGCTGTCGGTCTCTGGGCTGCAGCCCCTCCGGCTCCTCCTCCTCCTCCTCCTCCTCCTGCTCTTCCTCCTCTTCCGGGGGCACAGCCAGGGTCTGGCCAGGGAAGGCAGGCGAGGCCAGGCTCGGGGGGACGCGGGCCACCCCCACTGCGTCCCAGGCGGGACTCCTCGTGCAGCCGGACAGGCTCAGCTCAGAAGGCCCGGGACGCGGCCGTCCGTCCGGTCGGGCTGCGGAGAACGGAGGGCGGCCGACGGCAGAGAGGGCGTCGCGGCAGGAGGGCCCCGGCCCAGCGGCCTCTCCAGGGAGCCCAGCCCCTCCGGGCCCTGCGGGGCCTGCGTTTGTCAGGAGACCTGAGGAGGAGAGAAGAGAGTGGTCAGGCCTCCGGACACCACAGGTCCCTGTCGGGAGCAACGGAGCCCAGGAGACACCCCCAAGGCCGCCCGGCAGGGACAGCCCCGCAGCCGCTGCCCGCTGACCCCCAGGACGGACACTGGACAGAGGCCTGAGTGCCGGGGGTGGACACCAGCTCTCAGCAGCCCCCGCCCCCTCGTGTCCTGGTGGGATGCCTCGTGGACGGTGACGACAGGGCACGACCGGCCGGGGTTGGGGGTCTGGGTCCCTCCGCGGGTGTCTCTAGGGGTGTCCCCGGCCGTGCCCCGTACACAGCAGGCGCTGCCTCGTTGCACAGAGAATAGCGGTGGGTGCCTGCGCGTGGACCCGCGGAGCCCCTGGGTGGCCCCAGAGCCGGGGAGTGGGGGGCATGCAGGTCCCTGGTCCATGAGGCCCCAGCACCCCCAGCCACCCCGGATCTCAGAGTCCAGCGAGCGGCTGCCAGGGGGGAACGTGTGTCCCAGGTCAGGGCTCTGGGGCAGCGGAAATACCACCGTCAGAAGGACAGACACAGAAAAGCCACGGGTGACATCTCTGTCCCAGGTCACACTTATTTAACACTTTGCCTGAGCTGCCGGCCCTCCTCACGGGGCCACGTGGACACGGCCACGGAGGCGTCACACCGCCCTGACCCAGGCCCGGCGACGCTCCGGGCTCCTGTCCCAGAGGCGGGGCTGGGACCGTCGGCCGGTGGGGTCCTCCCAGCTTCCTCCCAGCCGGCCGGGCTGCCCGCGCGTTTCCTTATTGGCCTCCGCGAACCTGGGCCGCGCTCCAGGGTGTCGCCTCGGGCGCACCTGGCTTAGCAGGAACCACGCTGCCCTCCGCCAGCTGTGCGGACGCGGCACCTGGAGGCCAGCGTCCGGGGCAGCAGAAGGTGCTACCCGGGCTCCGGGTGAGTGTGGGTAGCACTGACCACGCAGCCCTTGAGGCAGGGGGAGGGGGGGTGGGGGGGGATGGGGGGAGGGAGGAGGCGGGGGGGTGGTGGTGGCGGGGGCGTGGGCAGTACCAGGGCTATTCAGATGCTGCAGAGAGAACCAGACTGGAGTCTCATTATTGGACGCAGGCTGATGGCTGTAAACATATTTATTGTTTAGTAAGTAACTTCGCTACTCTAGGAAAAATCGCGTCTTGAATCTAATGTGGAAACATTATTTTTCTGCCCCAGCCAGTGTGGCTCAGTGGTTGGGCGTCAACCTATGAACTAGGCCAGGGATGGCGAACCTTCGACACGCGTGTGAGAGGTGACACGCGAACTCACTTTTTTGGTTGATTTTTCTTCGTTAAATGGCATTTAAATATATAAAATAAATATCAAAACTATACGTCTTTGTTTTACTCTGGTTGCAAAGATCAAAAAATATCTATATGTGACCCGGCACCAGAGTGAAGTTAGGGTTTTCCAAATGCTGGCACGCCGAGCTCAGAAGGCTCGCCATCACTGAACCAGGAGGCCACGGTCCAATTCCCGGTGGGGGCACAGGCCCGGGTTGCAGACTCGATCCCCAGCGGGGGGCGTGCGGGAGGCAGCCGACCCAGGATTCTCTCTCATCATCGATGCTTCTCTCTGCCTCTCCCTTCCTCCCTGAAATCAATAAAAATGTATTTAGAAAAGGAATAAAACGACTCTCTGCCCTCACCACGGCTCGCTTCCTCTCTGCTCTGAGCTGCCGTCTGAGCCTGACTCCCAGGAGGAGCTGGAAGCCTCTGGGCCAGGCTGGGCCCCGCGAGGACTCTGGGGAGGGCTGGCGCCTGGGTGACGGCCACGCGGCTTCCTCTCCGGGGCAGGAAGCAAAGCATCGTTGGCGCCTGGGGCTGGGTCCCCAACACTAGGATCCCCCACCTGGCACGGGCGAGGCTGCTCCGAGCCCTCAGTTAAAGGAGGCGCCGGAACAGTCCGCGAATCACAGCAAAGGCGTCCCTGAGCCGCGGCCTGTGAGCGGGGGCAGGGCAGGGCCCGCCTGGCTGCCCGCGGTGTGACGTGGGCCATGCTGTGCTGGCATCCCCATAACTGGCCTCCTAGAGCCTCCTGGGGACACCAGCACCCCCCTGCCCCCCACCCCCACCTGTGAGGCCCTGAGCAGAGGGCCCGCCCCATGGCCATGGCCCCGCAAGTGCCCTGCCGAGCCTGGGAGCCGTTTTAGTGGCTGAGTGTTCAGCGCTGTTAGCAGCACAGAAAACGGTGCGCACCACCTGCACGGCCTGGGCAGTGAGGTGCGTTCATGCGTTTTAAATACAGAACCGTGTCTGAGGGGCCTGCCCGGTGCCGGGGCCCGTGAGCCGCCCGCGCTTTGCAGGTCGGTCCTGGGACGGTGCGGCTTCCTCACCCATCAGGGCCCAGGAAGGGTATGGGGGCCGCCGCTCCCTGCAGGGGCTGAGCCGGAGGCTGTGCCCTGATGCCCGCCCCCGGGGGTGGCACCCAGGGGGCCTCACCGCGGGGGCCCTGTGCGGACGCTGTGGCTTCCTGTCCCCTTCCTGCAGGGAGGAGAGGGCGACCCTCGCCCCGTGGGGCTGCACCTGGGACAGGGCCACGGGTGGGGCAGGGGCCTGTGGGCTGGGACGTCCACCTGGGCCGGGCGGGTGACGTGGCCTGGGGGTCGCAGCCTGCGACTCGCACCCTCAGGATGTGTGCTCTGCTGAGTCACCTCCAAGTTTAACGTGTGGGTTCAGGGAAGGTCCCCGCTCCCTTCAACCAGGACAAGCCCCTCCCAGCCTGGCCCGGAGACGCCGGGCGACCCTGAGGTCATGCCCCGTTTCTGTTCTCTCAGTGCTTTGAGGTGACAACCACCTGCCCTGTCACAGAGGGTCCTCCAGACCCACCTGTGCAGGGAGGGCACCCTTCACCCAGCTCCAGCAGGCGGGGGGACCCTGCACCTGGGCCAGGCTCCTGACCCCCGACCCCCTCAGTCAGCACCCAGCAGGCGGGGGACCCTGCATCTCAGCCAGGCATCTGAGCCCTGACCCCCTCAGTCAGCACCCAGCAGGCGGGGGGGCCCTGCACCTCAGCCAGGCTCCTGAGCCCTGACCCCCTCAGTCAGCACCCAGCAGGCAGGGGGACCCTGCACCTCAGCCAGGCTCCTGAGCCCCGACCCCCACGGGTGCCTCAGGTTCTGTCTCCTCTGCAGGCGGGTCTGGGTGGCGGGGCCCAGGCTCAGTCTCAGGGGATCCAGCCCAGGGCGGCCGTGTCCCGCTGGCCCAGCCCTGAGGCCCCTCGGGGTTCACTCTCCCTGCAGTTCCGCCCTGTGCTGACCCCAGGGGAGACAGGTAGCGTCCTCACGCCTCTCAGCCCAGCCAGGTCACCATCAGCTCTGCCGTGGGGCTGCGCCCGCCCCCGGAAATCTCGCTGGCTTCTGGAACCACCCGGCTCGCCAGACAGCGTGTTGACAGGCGCGTCCTCTGTGTCCCCTGGCTGGGCTCCCAGCAGCACCGCCGGCGGCTCATCACTCCTCGCTGCAGCTCCCCGGCCCCCCGGCCCCAGCGGACGCCTGTCCCGAGCTCACAGGCCATCGATGCCACAGGGACCCGGAGGTGACAGCGGGCGGCCGGGGCTCCGCCAGGGCAGCACCGAGCCCGCCCTCTCCTGGGCCGAGCCTGGGCCGGCTTCCCTTCTACCTGGTCGCGTCCTCTAAGGGTCTCCTCCCCTCTAAGGGTCTCCCCTTACCCCCGGGGCCCCAGCCTCTCCCGCCGCCAGAGGCGGTCCGTACGCTGTGCTGCTGCTCAGAGCCCCTCTGCTCCTGCTGGCTCCACTTACTTTCACTTTCATAAGCCGGGAGGCCTGCCCAGAGCACCCGCTGGGCGCTCCGAAGGCCGCTGGGAGTTCACCTGCTCACCTCCCACCTGGCACTTCCCGGCCGCCGACCCCACGCCCCGGGGCGGGGCTGCTGACCCTGGTTAACCCCGTCCAGGTGGGCAGACAGGTGCGAAAGGGCCAGGAGGGATATAGCGGCAGCTTTGCCGGCCATCAAGTCTCTCCCGCAACGACTCTGCTTGGTACTGCAGCGCGAACGCGTCCTTCGAAGACGTGCGTGAACACAGGGCCGAGTCCCAGTAAAACTTTATTTACAAAAACCGGTGGGGGCCGATGTGGCCGCTGGGCTGTGGTTGGCCGACTCTGGTCTGGGCCACCGCTTGTCTGTATGCATGCACCGTGCCGCTGAACGCAAGCGGAGGCTCTTCTCTATTCCTGGCGGGTCTCCTGTAATAAACTGTAATTAGTTTTCAAGGCGTTTCAGCGGATTCTCCAGGGCCCGGGAGGCACCTGCCTGCCTCATCTGCACGCAGTAACGATCCTGTTTCCTCGCACCAAATCCGCACGCGGGTGCCTTTGCCAGATCTCCCCGGAGCGGGCGCAGGGATGACACCTGGTCGCAGGGCGGGGGCGGGGCCTGGCTCCCCGCCCTGTGGGCTCAGGCCTGAGGGGGGCACCTGGTCCCCGAGGCCCCGCCATCTCCCTAGGCTGGCGGCAGGTCCGCTGTGCTCGATGCTGCTGTTTTTCTGAGCAGGGAGACGGGTGTCGCCTGTGACTCTGCGCCTCTCCTGGGTGAGGACGCATTTTTTATTCATCTCCGGGTGGGGTCGGTCCCGCTCCTGACTCTGAAATATTAAAATGCGCTTCCATCTCCCACATAAATCCACAGCGTGGTGGCGTGTTCCGTCCTTAAAGGGCAGCAGGACGCAGCGGGCTGTGATTCTGTGCAGGTTCAGACGGCACAGGACCCATCGCCTCCGCCCCGGGGAGTGCACATTCCAGGGGCGGGGTCCCCCACATTGATCAGCAACCCCCAAACAATGCGGGGTCCGCGGGGCCTCAAGGGCGCTGTGCTGAATGAGGTGACCTTGCCGTGACCTTGTCGACCTTTGGGGGCGCCTCTGGCATCGGCTTCACTCGCCCCAAAGGACCTGGGCAGCGTCCCAGGTTCTGGGAGAGTCGCCCGCACAGTGCGTTTCCGGCTCCCACCGGCTCCCGCCGGCTCCCGCCGGCTCCCGCCGGCTCCCGCCGGGCCTTCCGCTGGCGAACGCGGGGAACACGTCTCTCCTCTTTGGTTGCTTGTGGGAGCCCTCCCCCACATTCAATACACTGGGGCGCAGTGCACCCCTGGGTGATCCGAGACCCCGTGCGGCTGCTGGCCCGTCTTCCGGGAGATTCATTGTCCAGCTCACACAGTCACCACACGTGACGGCGGCGCGAGCGCATCCTGACAGTCCCGCCAGGCGCAGCCATCGACCCCAGGCCTCTCCAAGGCCACGAACGCGTCTTTCTCTGCACGGCCTCTTTCTCCTCGTTTCTTAGGGTGGCTTCTTCGTGGCTGAGATGACTTTCACTCTTTCTCGTTTAGAAATAAGGTTGTTTAAAGGCATGCGCACACTGAGGAGTCCACCTTTCAGGGAACGGAACCTGGGACCCTTCAGTCCACAGGCCGAGGCTCTATCCGTTGAGCCAAACCAGCCAGGACGGCCCCTACAGTCTAACTACTGGACCCATCGTGCAGGCCCGGCCCCTCGGCCACCAAACAGCAGCCCTGCAGGGTGTCCCGGGGGTGCGGCTGCTCCCTGAGCTCTCGGGGCCAGGAGGGTCCACCCTGCATCCCAGCGTCCAGTGTGGAGCCAAGCAGGGGTGTGGGGGTGGGGGGAGGAGGGAGGGGTGTGGTGGGAAAGGGGTGGGGGGAGAGGGCAGAGATGGGTGGGGAAGGGGTGGGGGAGAGGGCAGGGGTGCGGTGAGGAATGGTGGGGGAGGGGAGGGGCACGGCAAGCCCTTGTGCACCCCTGACCTCTCTGGCCTCAGGGACACCCCACCCCACCCCACTGGGACGGGCTCCTCGGCTGGGCGCTTCCTCCGTGGCAGCCTTTCTCGTTTTTGTATAAAGCGACACAGAAACGCTGCTTTAAGGCGAAGCGAGACGGGCGCAGCGCATCCCAGAACAGCCGCGCGGTGATGCCTCCTCTTAGGAAATCGGCCCAAAGTGCCCCCAGAAAGGACGGGGCTGGGCAAACCACGTCTTTACTGTTGTATCTGAGCTCCTTTCTGCCGAGAAAATGAGGGAAGTCACAGCTCGCGATGCTGCTGCTGCCGTGGCCGGCGCGTTGCTGTTCACACGCAGAACCACTAACACGCGGCCGGCACCGCCGTGACGATAGCAACGACGGGAGGAGCACCGGGCGGACTGCGGTCGGAACCGAGAAGCGATCGGCTGCTCGCCGTTCCTGCAGGAAAGGAGCCGGGCGCAGGCCCGTGTCGTTGCCGTGGCGGCCACCGTCGGTCCCCACCACCCACTGCGCCTCCGCCTCCTGCACAGAGGCCTCGGCCCTGGGGGGACGCTGTCTCCAGACCGAGGCCCCCAGCGGAGCCGGGGAGAAGGCCGAGCTGGACACCCGCCTGACGCCAGGGCCCGCGGCCCACGCTCTGTCCCTGCGCCTCCCGCCGGACGGACCACGCGGGTCTCCAGAAAGGGCACCGGTCTGGACACCGATACGCTGACATTTTTTTAAAATTGACTTCAGAGAGGAAGGGAGAGGGAGAGACATAGAAACATCAGTGATGAGAGAGGCACCCCCCAGGTGTGCTGCACAGCCGAGCCCGCTCCCCCGCCAGGGCCCCCAGGACGCCGGCGCCCCTACGCACCGTGGTGGTCTTGATGCGCCCGCCGGGCTGCGTGCAGGTCCAGCCGGAGCGGTTGATGAGCAGGTCGCAGCCTTCGCCCTCCAGGCAGGGCCGCATGTCACACCACTGCTTCGTCTTGATGATCCGCGCTGCGGGGAGAGGAGAGCTGTCAGCCCTGCTGCCCAGACATGGACGCACCCCGCACCCGACTCCGCAGGGCCTCAGGGACGGATCAGCCTGGCGGTGATGCCACCAGCTGCCGGGTGGTGTTTCAGCTCCAAGTTCGGTCACGCACACACAGCACGGCCCCACACTGAGCCCGCAGGGAGAAGCAGGGATGGGGTCCGAGAGGAGCTGGGGAACCGGGTCCAAGTGAGGACAGAACGGGCCCGTCTTCAGGCACCTGCCCCACACCCAGCGCCAACGGCGTGCCCGCACTCAGCGGCCTGCTGCATCCTGCCCCTACCTCAGCCACGGCGCCTGGCCACATGGTGCACACATACACACACAGAAATGCACAACTCACAAAATGCACACGAACAGGCACACACTCATGCACCAGCACATGAAACAGCACACGTGTACATGTGCATACACATGTGTGCATGTACCCTGCACCCATCGCCAGGCGTGCAACCTGGCACTCAGTGGGCAGGTGGGCGTGTTTGCAAAATGAACACAGTGGACCTTGGAGCCAGGGACCACGGGGCGTGCGGAGCCAGCCTGCAGAGGGCGCTACAGGCCACGCTCACACACACGCCTTTTGTTTGCCAAGGAAGCTGGGCTCGCCTGCCCGGCCCACTTCCTGCTGGAGGCTGCGGGAGGCGCAGCGCCGGGCCCCCACGTCCCGGGGACAAAGGGCCTTTCATGCCCACACGTCACAACTTCATTCCTCTGCCCGGGCTCCAGGCAGCTCTTGGCCGGGGCAGAGCGTCCGCGAAGGGCCGGCCGTGCTGAGGGCCTGGGGCAGGGGCTGAGGCCGGGACGGCGGTCACAGCCTGTCCCTGCATCACAGCCACAGGGGCCCCCACGGCAGGTCGGGAGCGTGGGCCCTTCATGCCGTGTCCCCCAGGCCTGTCCCCAGGCCCAGGGAGAGCAGGTGAGTCCAGCCTGGGCCTCTGAGGGGTCAGTGCAGCCCCAGGACTGCCCAGCCTGGCCTCCCCCCAACCTCTTCACCTCACACATGCACATGCGTCCACACAAGCACACGTGTCCACACATGCACACACGTCCATGCACACACATCCACACAGGCACATGCATCTACACCAGTGGTTCTCAACCTTCTGGCCCTTTAATACAGCTCCTCATGTGGTGGCCCAACCATAACATTATTTTCGTTGCGACTTCATCACTGTCATGTTGCTACTGCGATGAATCGTCATGTAAATATCTGATATGCAGGATGGTCTTAGGCGACCCCTGTGAAAGGGTCGTTGGACCGCCAAAGGGGTCGCGACCCACAGGTTGAGAACCGCTGATCTACACACACATGTGCACTCACATGCACACGTCCACACACCACACACATGCACACATTCGCAGGCGTGCACGCACAGGCACTGGCCTGTGGGCTTCCCGGGTGTCCCTAGTGAGGACCCCAGGGGCTCGGGCCCAGCCAGGGGGACCTGGCCCGTTCTGGGCTCCGCGACCCCCTCTGTGAGGACCTGTGGTGGCTCTGGGCCCAGGGGCTCCTTCCTCGGCCCCCAACTCCCCGAACACAGCCGCTGCTGCCGCCCAGACACCTGTGGGCAGCGGGGCTGATGACATGAGCGCCAGGAGGACAGGAGGGGGACACAGAGGGCGGGGCTGCCGAGGGGCGGAGCGGAGGGAGGAGGAGGGCGGAGGGGGAGGCAGCGGCCGCGCCCGCGGGTCTGGGGTCCTGGGACTGGGTCAGGGGACGGCCGAGGAGCGGTGGGCACGACGGACTGTGGGTCCTGGACACGCAGCGGCCCAGGCAGGCTCTGGCCCATCAGCCGAAAGGCCGGTTTGACAAACGGTGGCTGGTGAGGGACAGGTGTGGCAGCCACGGGGTGACCTAAGCGGGAGGGAGGGAGGGGCGCAGGGACGGCTCCTTAAAAGCCAGGGCAGCCCCTCCCCATGGGCCCGGCCACACCCCACTCGGCCACCAGGACAGACTGAAGGAGGTCTGCCAGGCCAGGTGCCCACTGGCCCCCCACAGCCCCCGGCCACGGCCTCACCCTCAGGACCCTCCGGGAGACGAGGGGGACGGGCCTCGCCCTGGCCGCGTTGCTGCGTCAGGATGACGAGGCCGGGCCAGCTCGGTCCTGCCAAGGCCTTTTTCTCCGAGCAGTCGGGCACCTGCCCTGCGCGGGCATCAGCCTGGCCGCTCGCCAGTCTCCGCGGTGACGGGCCAGGCCCTTCGCGGCAGCCAATCCCACAGGAACAGGCCTCGCGGGGTGGTGGTGGGGGAGACATGGGAGCCCCCAGCGCCAGGGCCTGGTGGGACGTCCTGGGAGAACAGGTGTCTGCACACACACCTCACACCGCGCTTCACACCGCACCTTCAACCCCACGCTCTGCGCCCCCCGCCCCCGCCCCCCAGTCCTGCGCCCCCAATCCTGCGCCCCCCACCCTGTGCCCCCCGGCCTCCCCCGTCCTGCGCCCCCTGCCCCACGGCCCCCATCAGCCAGGGGACTCGCTGTGCGAGCCCGCAGGTCCCCCGTGGTGAGCCCCTGTGAGTGTGTGTCTGCTGCACCATCTGCCTGTGAGATTGATGCTGCCGATTTGAATTCTATTGGTTTTGCTTTTGTGTTTGTGTTTAATTTTTAAACCAGCTTCAGTTTACTCCAGTTTGCAGTCTAATGAGGAGTTTGCTATATTCTTGCAACATGACAATAAAACCATTGAGGTCAGTGTGGGGTCCCCTCCCTCAGACCGGGTTCACATGGCCGAGGCGAGGACCGGGCTGCCTGCCCACGGGGCCTGTCGGGAGGGGCTGACCAAGGGGCCTCCACGGGGGCCAGGCTGCACACTGAACGGAATGCTGGGCGGCAGCAGGGGCTCCGAGGGCCTGTCCTCGGCCAGGAGGCCCCCAGGCCCAGCCACAGGGGTTCCAGTGCCCGGGAGTCACCCTGCAGGAGGCCCAGCAGAGACCCAGGGACCAGGACGCAGGCGTGTGCAGGGAGCACGGGCGTGGGGACCAGGACGCAGGCGTGTGCAGGGAGCACGGGTGTGGGGATGTGGACGCAGGTGTGTGCAGGGAACAGGGGTGTGGGGACCAGGATGCAGGTGTGTGCAAGGAACAGGGGTGTGGGGACCAGGATGCAGGCGTGTGCAGGGAACAGGGGTGTGGGGACCAGGACGCAGGCGTGTGCAGGGAACAGGGGTGTGGGGACCAGGACGCAGGCGTGTGCAGGGAACAGGGGTGTGGGGACCAGGACGCAGGCGTGTGCAGGGAACAGGGGTGTGGGGACCAGGACGCAGGCGTGTGCAGGGAGCATGGGCGTGGGGACCAGGACGCAGGCGTGTGCAGGGAGCACGGGTTGGTGTAGCTGCCCGCTGTCCCTTTGGTCCTCCCGACGCCCTCACCCCCCAAATCTAAGGGCCTGGACCTCGGGGTGACCTTGCTGGGCTCGAGCTGGTGGCCTGCTTCCAGGGACAGCCATGTGGCCACGTGCTGCTGACTTGTCTGGACAGATGGACGGGCCCAGCGGCGCGGATGGCGGGCGCTCGGGGACCAGCTGTGCATCGCATGCCCAGGCCTCGCTGCTCACAGACTGCGGGGCTCCCTGCAGAATAAGCTGTTTCTTCGTTTCCATTAACACAGGAATCTGCCTGCTTTACTCAACAACTTGGAAAAGTGAGTCATCCAGATCCGAGCGGCGGGGCTGTGGCGGACGCTGGCATGGCCCGGCACAGCTAGGACCAGGCCTCCACGGCGGGCGGCCCACAGGACCGGCCCCAACCTCCCGGATCTCGCTGTGACGGGGGGGGGGGGGGGGGGAGTGTCAGGCGATGCATGAAAAAGGGGCAGTCGGCACTTAATACGCAGGGCTACATACCGATTATACACCTATGCACATCCCACACAGGTTCACACGCACACACGCACGCATGCACACACGCTCACACACATCACACATGCTGACCCACAGAGTCGCAGCTGGTGGGACACGCCCAGGGTTCCGGAAGAATCTACCGCGTGAGGGTTGAGGCAGGACCCCTGCAGACACCTCTTGAGGTTCAGGAGGCCCTGGCCCCCCACCTTTTTGCTCCAGAAGCTCAGGTACCAGCTCAGACAGAGGCGGTGGGGCCAGGAGGTCAGAGGGCCCCTGGATGTGGGGACCAGGTGCCGTCCTGAGGCGCTGCCCTGGGGACCTGGAGGAATCAGAGGAGCGCACCTTGGACGGGACCAGGACGGTGTGAGGACAGGTGCCGGACGCTGGGGCCCTGGGGGTGCAGGGGGGCTCCATCGCCTGCCCCGCCTGCAGAGTTGGCTGTCACGGGTTCAGGAAAATGCAAACAAACCTAGGACCCTCCCCCCCCCCACCCCCGAGACCCTCTGAGCTCCAGAGAGCCACACAGGAAACATCCATGCTTGGACCCACCCGGTGAGGGTGCCCATGGGACGTGGAGCAGGGCCATCGGGCGGGGGGTGCTGCCACCTTGGAGGCAGCGGGGAGGCCCCCACCCCCAGGGCAGCCCAAGGGTCCGAGGGTCTGGGGGCTCTAGGCCTTGGCTGCAGGAGGCCGTCCGCTCCTCCCCCCAGACCCTGAGACAGGAGGAAGAGGGGCCTGTCCCCCCCCTCCCCCGCCCCGCACGCTGAGCCCTTTCATCATTTTGGAAAAGAAAAATCTGCAAAACCCAGATTACGCCTTCAAATGAGACTGAATCTTCTTCCTACAACTTCTCGGCAGCATAATTGAGTGAGAACAGTCCCGATAATTATTTTTCCTTTAAATAGTTACAGGAGAGCGGATTAATTTCCAGGACGGCCCTCTGATGAGGGTGATTCATTAGCGCGGGAACGGTCCCCCGGCTCGCGGGCCGGGGAGGCCGGGGTGGGTGCTCATCAGAGGGCAGCGCAGCGAGGGGCTCGGCGGCAATCAGCTGAGACGGAGAGAAAGGAAAACAGGCTCCGCGCTACCTGCCTCCTCCCTTCATTAGGAGGAAGGAACGCCGGAGC